AGTTCCCCTAAAACAATAGAAGTTAAAGTAATCCCTTAAAATCAGAACTTAAAAACAAAGCTCTTTGTAGTTGAATAAAAGTCAAAGTGAAATATATAATGGCAATTCAATGTCACAATGCCTTCGACATTTTTAAATTTTACATTTTAGTTGATGTAAATTTTAGGCTTATTCTATTTCTTTTATTACTTTTTTTTATGTAGTTCATGTGCTTATTTTAAACCCCCATTGCATTTTTATCACATAAATACTAGTCTGCACAAATTCACTTCTGTTTTATCCAAATTTTAACAAGTTTTTGTAAAGTTTTACGGTTTCCAATACAGCATTCGCTATGACCTCTATGAAATTGTTGAGCTATAACATCTTCAAGACGGATTTGATCTGAGTAGTTCTTAGGTGCGCTCTCCACTTAGAATTAAAACTATATAGGGCAGGTCTATCACTGCTGTCTCCTGACTGCCCCAAAGAAACTTCAAAAAATCCTCACAAAAAGATCTTCCTTACATTTAGGTTTCAGTGACTGATATTTGCATCTGATCCTCATTTGCCAATGTGAAGTGAATTAGGTTAGTCTCTAATTATAAGATACTTTTTATAAGGTTTATGATTATGGTTTATTGTTTTTCATGTTCTTATTTGTGTCTTTTTCTCTTTTCCTGTGCATGTTTCCCTCTTCCCCTCCTGTCTTTACTTTGAGCATCTCCTCCCTCTTTATATACTATTCTTTTTGAGCTTCTATCACTTCACTGTTCACTGTTAAATTTTGTCTATTCAAACCTTCACAGCATCTCTACAACTGAGTAACTATTGATCAGGGTTGGAGTGGTTATGCTACCTAATGAGAAGCTAAATATAGCAAACGCTGCAACGGGCCTGCTGCGGCATTCTGGCTCATCTGCTGCTCAAAGTGTGAATAGTCACACCGTTGGCATGACAACACAGCGGTCAAGGCTTTATGAGCAGTCACAACAGATTGTGTGCTTGTGTGCAAGTTTGCCGCCCAAATATAGAAAGAGATGAATGAAAGAAATGGGAACCATATAAGTGAAGAACTTTGTAAAGCTAGTTGCTAAAAAAAAGGCAGTGGTTGTTTAGATGGTTGGACATTAATGGTAGGAAATATTTATTCTTATTTTAAGTCATTCTCTACTGCATTTCATATAAAAATAGAAAATGTTTAGATTCATTGTGGAGTCAATAAAAAAAATGTAATAGCATAAAAATTCCCACCTACATTCCATTGTTACCATGTAAGTAAATTGGCTTAAGCCTACATCACTGAGCCTTATTGTGTTCACTTTGACAAGTTTAGCTGCCCACACTTCTTCTTTGTTGCATGGTAACCAATTGAGTCACAATCCTTCAATACCAACCCACCTTTTTTTCCCAGCCAGCTGGTGAAAAATGAAGAATAAGCATGTGCTAATGGGATATCTTCTTTAATAGCCTACTGTTTCATTCAGCTGTGTGGCCACGATAAGGACTACCCACTGTGTCTAATCTCATCTTCTCTCTCTCGTTTCACCTGAGGCACATCTGCAATCAAGTCTATTTTTGACCAGCACTACTCCATGCTTTGCTTTGCTGGAATTCACAAGGGAGAAGCATGCCTAAACATGTACAATTATCAAAAGATATGTTCACTTCACAAAACTGTGAATGTGTGAAACAACAAAATTTAAATTTTCGCATATATAGAGCTGAATATAATACCAACAAAACCTGGTTGGATATACAGTTCATTAAGCTCTGGATTTAAACTAAAAACCTTCTATCTCCACTTTAAGGTATTACCTTACTTTGCAAAGCAGATAAGTAACCTACAGAACTCAAAAAAGTTATTCACGAACCAAATGAATGATCTTTCAATATCATGCAAAGGTTTTTATATCCCTGAAAAGTAAACATTCTGTCAGCTAAACACCTCAATTTATTTTGTTTGGAATTTGTTCCACAGTTGACCTATAAAAACTTGATTTTTAGGAGTGAATTGTTGCACATGGTTGTATTTGTGTTATCCAACACATTTGAATACAACTCTTTGCAGATTCCATTTAATATGATCATAATGTAAATATAATAAAGATTTAGGAGCATAAGAAAGACAGAAATAAAGGTAAAGAGAAATTTATAGCAGTTTTTCAATATCCGATGTTTTGGATATCCACAAAAAGCCGGTCGTATTTACCCAGTTGATTTTTTTAATTCTTTTTTTATTGAATCAGATCCTTTCAGATACTTTCAAAGTATAACAAATTCTACTTACATACACCCATGTGCACTGCCTTTCCCATAGACAAGAAGTAGGGCTTTTGTTTTTTAGTTTTTATGCAGTTGACTTGTAGCTATCAAAGTAAAAAAAAAAATACCTCTTTGTCACACCATCTGGCATTTATTTATAAACACCTACTGAATTATACGGTCTTTTGAAAAATTGAAGCATGAAAGTGTTTAATGTTGATAGGTATATTACGTTTAACTGTGGATGACTTAAAATCACAGCTATAACAGTTAGTAAACAATTATGTCCCAATCAGTAGCAAATATCTTTTTACATTTCTCCTCTGATGTTTTTCTCCTCTCATACCCTTCTTTCTCTGGTTGTCATAGTAACATGAAATGGTTGCATGCTGTAGAGCAAAAACAGAGTGGGGGATTGAATTTAGAGCCTGTGAGTTAGATTGTTTTACATGGTGTTTTAGATCACACACACACACGTTGTGTCCTACTATCATTGTGGGGACTTGTCATTGACTTTTATTGACTTTGTGTTAATTTCTATGTCCTAACTAAATGACCCTTACCCTAACACTATCCATTACCAACACAATCCTAAACCTAATCCTAATAAACCTAATAAACTCATTTTACACTTAAGTCCTAAATCTACAGTAACCCGTGACTAAAGAAAAAAAAAATTCTCATTGTGACCAGTTGACTGGTCCCCAAAATGACCTGTAAGTCCCCACAGTGTAGCTTTTTTTCTGAGAAACTGGCATTACAGTGTCCCCACATGGTAACAAATACATGCAGAAGTGCTTAAAGTCTCTCATTGTGGATGCAGTAACAGCAATGGCTCTTTATATGACTTCAGATTTTTTTTATGCACCACATTTATCACCAGTAACAAAGCTGTATCTGAAGATTATTTTAGATTTTGATAATTGAAAATAAAATGTACCTTTTTGGACCTAAAAGCTAAATATATATTACATTACACTTGTGTAACACTCTTAGCAGAGGTGCTAGCAGTAACAGACTTTTCATGGGCATTACACTGCTGTGGGGTAGGCATAAGTTAGGCTTTTGTTAGAAAGAAGTGCTGGACCCGTTATGAATACTCTATTTATATTCCCAAAACTGAAAAAAATAAATAAATAAATAAATAAAAAAAATAAACATAGAAAGTTCAGCGTATCCCAGCGTTACTGTCAAGATTCTGGCTAAATTGTCAAGGTGTGGCAGCACCATAAGGGGTTCATGAGAAGTCAAATGAAGATCTTTTTTTCTGACATTGACAGAGTATTCCAAATCAAATTGCTGGAACTCAGCAACCTTTGTTTTTTAGTCCTGTGTTGTACTTTTTTAACAGAGCAATTTGTAAAGAAATACAGTTTACAAAATTGTTTTCTCTTTATGTTACAAACAACTCTGGCAAGATGCCATAGTAATTCTGTTGTTTACAATTTTTCAGTTCAACTAACATATTTTTTATGGAAACAAATTAAACTGACTCCTGATGAAATCTAGAAAGTGTTCTGTCAATACACATCTGTGCATCTTAATTCTCTATCCATTTAGCCAGTATTAAAATGGGGGTTTCTATCCATCAATATATGATGAAATATTTTTCTAACTAAAAAGGTATATACTGTATGCGTTTCATTTTATGCTCTCAAAACATTTGCATTGTTTACAGAGTACTGAGTTTGTGTTTGGTTTCTGGACTGGGGTGCGATGAAAACCAATGACCTAGCTGGGAAGTTTTCTTTTGCTGATATTTCATTTCATGTCAGCTTTGCCTGCTATGGGAAGGAAAGATGACAACTGTAACACCCTTCTCTTGTCTCTGTTTACATTTCTCTTCACACATTCCATGAGGGGCTGTTATTTCAATTAAGGAGAACCTTAACAGTCAGTTTGAAGAGAAGAGCAAGGGTGTCTTCTAAACTCCAGGTTTTTTATCATTATTATAATCAGATAATGATAGACAAGCATTGATTTTTACACTCAAAACGTACATTTTTTTTTGCAGTCATTCAATGCAAAAAGTCCCATTTCATTGTCAAGTTGCTGTACTGTATTTTAATTCAATATAGTTCATTTTATTAATATACTGTAACAGCACATGTCATATCAAGGCACTTTACAGAGACATTTCAATCAGATCATTCCGTAGGATTGGTTCAAAGTTTTTTTATCTAAGGAAAACCAGCTGATTGCATCGACTCATTGACTCGACAGTAATCCCTCACACCAAGTATTTTAATGGATCGTGGTCCAATATGTCACTTGAAATCCAAATTGACCAAGCCATTTGTCATGAACCTTTAGATGCACTGCTACTGGAGCCAGGAAAAAGTGTTAGAATGTACCTGGAGAACACTGCAGATACATTCAAAACCGCTGGATAGATATCTGATTGTTTCTTAGGTGACAAATTCAGAATTAGGAAAAAAGATAGGAGCAAAAATATTCATTTGCCTGCTGTATGAATGCAATTATCCATACTACTACATTCTTCTGTGTTGCAAAGTTATGTGCTTTTGAAATTAAGTACATCATGCTTCAGCACCAGCATTTTAAAGTGATTTGTTTATTTTGTCCTTATGCTTGTGGCAGTACCTGTGACTTGTATTTGAAGCTGGCTTGATTTATTAAGCTTGGTTGAATGTCGTTACTATAGAGTCTAATCAAAATCTTCTATTTCTTCTGTCTTTGTGTCCTCTAACACCCTTCACCCCCCTGCTCTCCCCCATATCTGTCGGTGTCTGCAGTGCGACAATGCCAAAGGGCTGAGGGCTTTCTTTGACGCCATATGCTATGGTCCAAAACACCTGATGATCTTCGGAGGTGTCTGCCCTTCTGTGACGTCCATCATTGCAGAGTCTTTGGAAGGCTGGAATCTGGTTCAGGTAGAGAAATATTGTACATGTTATCACTGGTGTGTGTGTGTGCGTGTGTGTTCTTATATATGTTACCTATTTAGGACTGTTTTTGCTAACGCTCTGAGGACCAACAGGCCTTTTGGGGACCAAAGGCTGCTCCTAATGTGGCAGATCCCCATTTTCTTAGCCTAGGGTTATGGTTATGGTTAGGAATATACTGATAATGGTTAGGGTTATGGTAAATGTCAGGGTTAGGCTTAAATGCAGTAACTAAAATTATTGTAAGTCAATGTAGACTCTAAATACGGATAGAAATACAAACTTGTGTGTATGCTGGGGTGTTGATGTGTCTAAATGCATAGTATTTAGGATCATATATATATATATATATATATATATATATATATATATATACAGAAGCAAAAATCCAAAAAACATAAATGCGCAAAAAAACTAAAACCAGGAATACTCACTACAAGGGATAAATAAAATAAAGACCAGGCTACAGTAATGAGGCTAATAAGGAGATTGGGAGCAGGTGTGAACAGAGGCAAGAACAGAGCCAAGGAAAAGCAGAACACAAGAGGGCAAACAAGAAATATCTAAGAACTCAAATACAATCAGAAATAACTAGAACACAAAAATGGAAATAGGCCAAATAAAAACTCAGAGATAAAACTTGAACAGAACCAAAACCATGACAGTTTTAGAGGTATGGAATTAATCAAATTATGTTAAGTTTAGGATTATAAGTCATAAATGCAGTTATTGAAATCAATGTCAGGCAATATAAAATTAGTATAATTGGAAATACAATCTTGTGTTTGTGTTTGTATGGCGGGGTCTGTGTGTGTTTGCTCCACTGTGCATCTTTTTATACACTTGTGTATTGGTTCTTATTTTTTTTCAGTGTCTGCATAGTTGTTTAACATCCTTCTACATTGCTGATTTAGGAAACTGATACGAATACTTCTTTGTTCTTAGTTTGCAGTCTTTTATGAGCAACTCCATTTTTTTTCTAAGTGGAGATTTTTTTTTTAAACGTCTGTCATGTATATATGTACTAGAAATTTAGTTATAAGAAATTATGAAATACACCTAATGTTTTAGTACGTGGTTGTGCTTCCCTGCATACAGAAGTGTTTTGTGGCATAGATTCAGCAAGGTGTTAAAATCATTCATCTGCAATTTTGGTCCATATTAAGGAGAGAGGAGAGAATCGCACAGCTGCAATTGCATTATGCCAGCTGCATATCTATGATGTAAATCTCCTATTCTGTCACATCCTAAAAGTTCTCTATTTGTGGATTGAAATCTCATACAGCAATAATGGTCATTTTTGAGAAACCAGCTTGAGATGATTTGAACAAGATAGCATGAAGCATTATGATACTTCAAGTATCCATTCCAAATTAGCAGAGTGCTTGGGTCCTGCATTATTGTGCAAACTTAAAGTTGCCATAAAAAAGCTTGATAAGAAACTGATTGGTGAGCTACAACTATCTCTGAATTTATCAGTGATTTAAAATCCTGTCTTGATATTTCATCATAATTCTGTCTCCTCCCAAATGCTGTTTTATACACTGCCCATATTTTAAAACTGGCATGAAGGATGTTTTGGCACTTGTGTGAAATAGCAAGTGTAAGAACTTGGATCTGTTGCTATAATTATCTACATTTATATTTTACAAATCATTTACACCAGCTGCTGATGTTGACATTTGATGCTATTAGTTCCGCATGGCATCACAACTGCAGATTGAGAAAATTAAAACCTTTTACTCTCTGACCACTTGAGTTGCAGCTCTCTGTCTGGGAATCTGCTCTGCATGCACCACAGAGGGAGACCGCCTCCTTTCACAGAAACATTTCATTTGTTGTGAACCTTCCAAAGGTTATCAGGCATAGATAAGGAGAGAGGAAGCTTGTGCTTTAAAGAGGGGGCATTGTTGAGGAGACTGCATTTTGAACTGAATGTCACTGGATGTTTTACGTTCCTTCTGCTTGCTGTTACCAGGAATCTGCTGCTTTTTATATTGCTCTAGGGCTGCTTTCCTGTGCAGGTGTTAAGAGGGAAGTCATACATGAGATAGAAGTTGAGGATTTTTGTACCAGGGTCTTCATTTTTTTCTTTATAAGTCCACATAGAATGGTTCGGCTCACAGCTATGTTACAAGTGTTCTTCAATTTCCTCTTTGAGTTTTTGGTATTTCTCGAGGTTGCTTCTTCTTGAATGTACCTTAATGAAACTCTTTCATTCAACCCCAATGCCCAGTTAGTAAACCACCTAATTTCTAAATTTAGTTCTTAACCATTCTTGGTGGCGTTTCCCCCGTTTGATTCCAGGAGTTTCTGCCCAGATATTTGTGTACACTATTCAATTCACTTTGAAATCCCATTCAATGTATGCTTTACCTACCCCCTTTTATAGGTATGACTATTTTAGGACCTCTTTGCCCAGTCTGTATCCTGGGTCCTTTCAGAGCTGGTAGACCACAGTCTTGATTGCTCTTGCAAATGAATCCTGCTCTTGTGTGGCCATTCTATTTTCAAAAACATTTATGTTGCACTGGGATTCTTCTTCCTGATCTACTGTAGGATCTTTGCTGCTTTATATTAAATGACTTGTCTACTGCGCATTTTACTGTACTATGCCCTGCTTTACAATTTACACGTTAAATTGTTATAAAAAATTATAACAAAGCAAAAATATTGCTCATATGCCTACTCTGTTAAAATTGAAAAGATCATTTAACTTATAAGGTAAAAGTCAGTTTAATCTTGCCAGCCACAAATTACTTGGTGAAGTGCTGAGGCGTCAACATAGTGTGAAGCTTGGGAAAGGCTGCCACTAATTTGTTGGTGTCAGTAGTTGTATTGATAGCTTAGAAGAGCTGAACAGATAAAGTGCTCTGGAGAAAAAAATATCCCTAAAAAGTGTGTTCTTTAAAGCATAAACGTGCTACTGAACCTCTCAGAGGTATCTTTCCCAAATAAACTAATAAAAACAAGAAGACAGCGAACACTCATAGCAGTCAGGTAAGAAGTTATGGAGACTCGAAGACTTAGAGGTTCAATTTGTTATTGGATATATTAGGTCTGTAAAGCCCTAGCTTTGGGAGTTACTGCAGCAGATTCCACAAAAAGTGTTTGAAAACAAAAGATATTATACATTTTTGGCCAATACTTGTGCCGTTTTTTTTTCTTTTCTTTAGGTAAACCAAAACATGCATTCACAGGTTAATCATTTGAATTAGCAGCCATGCCTTTAGATCACATAGGGGGCTTGCCCAGCCTCTCCCTTCATTTGCCATCAATTGTTTATTTTCTTTTTATGAAATAAAAAAAAAAAAACAATTCATGGTCATAAGCAGATAAGCTGCTGAAAGGGCCAGAAAGTTGGCATGTGTTTACAGTGCAGGCATGGTACGGCCAAGATAGGTGCATCCTAGAGGAGGCCGGTTAACACTTTCTTACACAGCGCTGCTGCTTGTGTTTGTGGGGCAGGTAGGGGTACCTCAGAGATCAGATTTCATGAGGATTCCATTTGACTTGTCCTGTTAGCACAGCCATGAAAGAACCAGGGCAAAAAGTCTGCATGATTGGAGTGAAGGAATCACATTATAGCCTTGTAATGACATCCTTTGCATATCTAAGGTAAGACTGATTAAATTATATTATCAACAATATCTGATTTATCAATGAGTGAATCTTACACATCCTCAATTCCTTTGTATTTCAGTAATTAAATGCATTCTTTAAATTCATAGTAGATTATTTGGAAAATCTGCAAATTTTTTTTTTTAGTTCGGGTACACTCACAATCTCTACTCTCACAAAAGATACAGTGTATGAAGATTCTACAATAGCTTCAAACTAGATTGATGCCCTTTAAGGAGACAAAAAGAAAAAAAAGGTTGCTTTAGCAAAAAATATTATGCTGTCGGAGCCATATGGTGGAGGGGTGAGATGAGAGCAAGTTTTTAATCCTGCACTCTGCAATTTGGGCCAGGTTTTAAATTTGATCATTCACCACCTAGATTATTCTGCGGTAAAACCATTTTGCAAAAATAAATAAATAAATAATAATAGATTATTAGAAGGCAGATTCCTTAAATTGTGGTGCATAGCTACCATTTGAACCTCAAACAAAACAACAACAAAAGTCATAGAAAAGGTTAATCCAGTGGTAGCGTCCAGGAAAGTCTTATTTTAAAGGCTAACCTACAAGAAGCTCACACTGCATATCGTCCTGATGCAATGTTCACATTCAGCTCTAGAAGCAAATACAATTTTATATTTTCATTTAGTTGTTAAAAAAATGGCATAATTGGCAGTAAAGTAGTTTCTCGGAAAATATGTCCATCCAAAGAAAGATTATTATAAAAATATGATTATTAAAAAGAATATAATTAGTTATCTACTAAACAGAAAAAGGGACTACGGATAATGGCATAATTAAGGCCTGATACACAAGCAAGCCATGTTTCATCCATAGGAATCATGGTGAGACTTTAAATCATTAATCCAATTAAGGAAAATTATGTATCTGTTCTATTATGTCTAAATTGTCTCTGAAAGCTCAGTCATCTGAAAAGTTCAGTTAACCTAGGCTCAAACCTCAGGCGAAGGCATGACATCTACAATGAACAACCTTTAAAATTTAGCTAAGTATTGTGATTAATACCTAAAATATGATGTGCTTAATTACCAATGAATCTAAAGATAATCCTTGACTTGTCTAAAAACTCTAATTGAGACTGACATTTAAGGTTAGGAAAGTAGTTTATCACTTAAAACGGAAAACAGTTATTAAGAACTAAAATCAAAACTAAAGCATAAAACTGAAAAATTAACTGAAAGTAAAAATGTATAAAAAAAAATTTTTGAAGAATTTTCTTAATTGCCAAATATGTTGCAATTTTTCTTACATATGTCACAATATAAATTTCAACTTGGAGAGACTCACATGGATAAAAGAAGCAATTAAAAAGATTTTATAGAAATAAAGGAAAATAAACAATTTG